ATGAAAGACAGATGATGTAGTATCAACAGACACTGTCTTCATTGCCTTCACTGAGAAGCTCGCTCTGGTAGCTGTGCCTAGTGCAGGCATTCAAGGAGAGTCCTCAGCAGTTAATGAGGACTGAGTCAAGGAGTGCTTGCAAGAACTTGACCAGTGCAAGTCCATGGGACCAGATGGGTTGCATCCAGGTATGCCAAGCGAACTGGCTGATGCTGTAGTGATGCTCCTCTGTACCGTATTTGAAAAGTTGTGGAGATAGGGGACGTCCCTGACAACTGGAGAAGTGCAAATGTTGCATCCATCTTCAAAAAAGTCCAGTCAGACTTATTTCAGTCTGAGTAAAACCATGGGACAGTCCTCTTGGAAGTGCTGGCTGTGTGAAGATGATTTGGAATAGCTAGGGTTGGATTTTTTCCCAAGAGCAAATCATGCCTTACAAGCCTGGTTGCCTTCTGTGATAAAATGATTAGCTCTGTGGCCAAGGAGAGAGCAACAGATGTCATTTACTTCAACTTGTAGCAGGTCTTTTGTCTGTGCCCCATAGTATCCTATCTCAATTAGGATGTTGTGATCTGGGTGGATGGGCAACCAGATGGGTTTAGAAAAAAAATAAGATTGAATCATCAGGCTCAGAGGATAATGGTTAATGAGTTGTACACTACCTTGAAAGTGATAACAAGCAGGGAACTGCAGGGGTGTATCCTGGGACCTGTACTGCTCAATATCTTAAGCAACAGTGTGGCAGTGGCAATGCAGTGCACTCTTACCAAGTTTGTAGAGACACCAAATTGATGGAAACTCAAGGGTAGTACTGCCAGTCAGAGGGACCTGAATAGGCAGGAGGAATGGGCTGACGGGAGCCTCATGAAATTCAACAAGGATAAATGCAGAATTTTCTTGCATCTGGGAAGGCAGAGCCCCTTGCAGCAATACTGGCTGGGATGTAGCTCTGATGAGAAGGACCTGTGGGTCTTGGTAGACAGCAAACTGAACATGACCCAGTAGATATAATGAAGGCTAACAGTATTTGGACTGTATGAGAAGGATTATAATCAGAAGACTGGGGAAAGTGATTTATTCCCCTTTACTAAGCACTAATTAGACTGCATCAGGAATACTAGATTCCACCCACCCCCAAACACACACAGCCCCTACATCAATGCATAAACCACGTAAACTAGAGTGAATTCAGCAAAGGGCTGCTGAGTTGTTTGGGGTAACAGAGCGGTACATGGCAGGCAGACCAGAGATGATGGACATAAATTGAGACAAGAGAGGGGATAAAATTGGTTCTTTGGATTACATTCAATAGCTTAACTTTTCAGTTACTTAATTGTTATGTGTTAAGGCATTAACTGCTTTAACAAAGAAACCCCTCAAACTGTAAGTAACAAGTGTTAAAAGTTGCAGTGTTATGGGTTTCATAACCATTTCATAATTACCATAAGATAAAAGTATCTTTTGAAGGTGAATAATGGGGTGACTTGGATCTTGAGGGTTTTGTTTGTTTTCCTGGAACTTAAACTATATCTTCAGTATTTGTAACATTATCCTTTCTCTAATAAACATGCACACTTGGAACCACAGAGTCTTTTGGCTTGCTTTCTAGGGGGTGATTTTTAGAAATGTTTTGAAGACTAGTTTGTTCCTACTGAGGAAACTAATTCCAAACAGAAAAAGAAGAACAGAAGAAAACAAACTTAAGTGCAAAAAGGCAGAGGGGGAGTGGGGGTGGGGAGAAATGGTGGTGAGCACAGTATTAGAAAAAGCATTATGAAAATAAATAAAAAAAAGGAATGGTGTTGAAATACATATATACATTTAAGAGAATTGCTGAGGATGGAAAGGAGCTCATGAGATTGCTAAAGCAGGGTCAGCTAGAGCAGATTGCCTGGGACTATGTCCAGCTGGGTTTTGAATATCTTTATGGATGGAAACTCAACAACCTCTCTGTCCAGCTCTCTGGGTCACACTGAAGGGTAGCAAACACATCTGGTATACTGGCGGCTACTCCTTATTTTGTATCATCTGTGAACTTGCTGAGAGTCCACTCTGTTCCCATCATTCAGGTCATTAATGAGGATGTTAAACAGTACTGGCCCCAGGGTCAACCCCTGGGGTGCTACTCACTTGCCTTTAACTGCACTTTGTGCCATTGATCACAATCCTGTGGATTCAGCTAGTTTTAAATCCTCCTTACTGTGCACTTACCTAAGCCATACTTTGTCAGCTTATATGTGAGGATGTTACAGGAGACAGTATCAAAAGCCTTACTAAAGTGGATGTGAACATCTCCTGCTCTCCCATCATCTTCCAAACAAGTCACCTCATTGTATAAGACTGTCAGGGTGGTTAAGCATGATTTCCCCTTTGCAAGTCCATGCTTACAAGTCCTCATATCTGGAAATTATTTCCAGGATTATTTATTCCATCACTTTCCCAGGGATTGAGTTGAGGCTGACCAGTCTGTTAGCAGATACTCCTTCCCAAAGATAGGAGTGACATTTGCTCTGTTCCAGTTCTCAGGAGGGTGTCCTTGTTGTCATGACCTTTGAAAGATGACTAAGAGTAGCCTTACCCAGACGTCAGGCAGCTCCCTCAGTGGTCATGGGTGCAACCTGTTAGGCCCCATAGACTTACATATGTCCAGTTAAAGTAGTCAATAACCTAATCCTCCTCCACTGAGGCTAAGTCTTCCTTGCTCCAGACATTCCCTCTGGTCTCAGGGGCCTGGGATTCCTCAACATTGGTCTTACCAGTAAACACTGAGGCAAAGAAGGTGCTGAGTACCTTGGACTTTTCTGTGTTTATTGCTGTCAGGGGCCCTGCTGTATTTAGCCGTGGGCCCACATTTTTGCTAGTTTTCCTTTCCTGTTCTTGTAGTTGTAGAATCCTTCCTTGTTGCCTTTCATATCTCTTGCGAGATTCAAATCAAGGTAGACCTTGACTTTCTCAACCCTACACCTACACAATTGGACAGGAACTCCATACTCTCCCATGGGTCAGCTGCCTCTGCTTCTACCTCTTACACGCTTCCTTTTTATGTCTGAATTTAGTCTGGGAGCTCCTTGCTCATCCATGCAGGCTTCCTGCTGCCTTTGATTTCCTGCACATGGTGATAGACCTTTCTTGAGCTTGGAGGAGGTGATCCTTGAATATCAACCATCTTTACCAGACCCTTCTTCTCTCCAGGGTTGTATCCCATGGGATTTTTCTGAGCAGATCTCTGAAGAGATTACAGTCTCCTGTCCTGAAATCCAGGGTTGTCTTGCTTTTTACCTTGCTCTCTCTCCTCTGAGGATCCTGAACTCCATCATCTCATCCTCATTGCAGCCAAACTGCCTGGACTTTAATGTCCCATGTCCAGTTCTTCCTAGTTTGTAAGTATTGGGTCTAGCAGTGCACCTCTCCTTGATCACCTGTGTCAGGAAGTTGTTATCACTGCACTCCAGAAATTTCCAAGGCTGGTTGTGTTCTGCTCTGTTGTCCTTTCAGCAGATACCAGGTGCTTCAAGTTCCCTGTGAGAACCAGGGCCTGTAAACATGAAACTTACATGAAACTTCTTCCAATAGTCTGAAGAAGGCCTCATATCCCTGATTTGGAGGTCTATAGCAGGCACCTACTACAGCATCACCCATGTTGTTCTGTCTGCTAATCTTGACCTGTAAGCTCTCGACTGGCTCCTGACCTGTCCTCACGTAAGGGGCAACTCTTCCTCCTTGCCTTTCTAGCCTGGCCTTCCTGAAGAGCCCATATCCATTTGTCACAGCACGCCAGTCATGTGAGCTATCCCACCATGTCTGCATGATCCCAGTGAGGTCATGGACCTGCAGCAATTGCACGGACTTCTGTAATTCCTCTTGTTCGTGCCCCATGTTGTGTGCAGTGGTGTACTTTCTGACTTTCAGGAATTCCTGGTGAGATGAGATTAATCCTGTTCCAAGCAGGAGCATCTCTGGATGTCAAGCTTTTCCATTAAAGTAATGCTGTCATGTACATTCAAGCTGTGATAATCCGTTCATTACTAACTTTCTAGGCTAGGAATGTGGTTTTGGCCTTACTTGTGAGCAATTCCCATTTGTCTTTGATTCAACATGAAGCATTCTAGGGGAAATGTCTTTGTGTCTTTGTAGTTCCTATTTGATGATGGGTACCTTCAGATCTTTTTCCTCCTTGTTTTTTTTTTTAGTTTTTTTTCTGTTTGTTTTTAAAGAACCTTAAATTTATTTATTTACTTAGTATTATTTTTATTATACAGAGTACTTACCATGTTTCTGTGTTTTCAGGACTCTTCCTTTGCTAGTCTTTGTTTTCTGGAAACATCCTGAAAGTATCCCTGTGAGATTTTGTTATGAAGGGAGCTGCTTCTTCTCATGTCTTTGTTTTTGAATTGAGATTCTCACCTAATCCAGCTGGGTACACAGATTGGTCTCCTATAATTATATCTAAGCTCATGATGAGTATTGCTGCATCTACTCTCAGAATTGTAACATAATGTTAAATCTGGATAGAAGCTTTTAACCTCTTCTAGTACGAATCACCTGTTTGTGGCTCTGCTTCTTCCTAGTGTAAAAGAGCTTATTGACTAGTACAGCCCCCTGGAATGATGTCTTGAGCAGACTCTTTGTATTGTTCTGAGTCTCGCAATTCAGTCCACAAACACATAGCAAAGTGGACTGAGCTTAGACCATGCCCTGTGATGCCAAGCACAGCTCCTGGAGCTTTGTTTTTTGTATGTGAAGACTTTGGGTTTCCATCTTTGTGGGTCATCAACCAGCTCTTTTTACCTGGTTCTTTGTGGACATTTGGTCAAGTAGGTGTTAACATCTGTGTCTTTGAACCTGGATTTGGAAACTGTGGATGCCCACTTAGCATTGTGATAGTGCCAGCCACAAGCTTAATCATGTTCAAGAACGGAGTAGTTGTATTAATGGCAGGTTGTGGCCCCTCTCCTGTTTGAACCAGTGGCCTTGCTGCAGTACCACGGACAGGTCCGCATATGGCCCCCACAGCCAGCCACCGGCGGATATGTAGTGCTGGCGCTGCTGGGTGGGTGGGATCCATCTTCATTTGCTGCCCTTTTAGTCTGTCTCTTCAGTGGATTTCATGGCATAGGGCAGGGTCTTGCTCCTGAGCTACCATGGTAAATAGATTATTAGGATCTGACAATGACTTGCTATTCTCTCAGTCCAGTGCTTTCCCTTTTTCCCAGGTGCTAAGTTTATGCTTGCTTTTCTAATGTTCATCTCCTTTACAGATCCCAAGCTAAGGAAAAAAGGATAGTCCCTGCATCCAAATCTCTGCTTCCAGAGTCTGGCACCGTGAACTATAATACATTGTTTTGTAAATGCATCAAGCATTATGCCTACTACTGAGACTGAAAAAAGCGATATCCTGGCTGGCTTGTGTGTGTATCCACAATGAGAATTTGTAGGTTTGGGAGTTGGAGGGGTGTGTGTTCTGTTTTGTTTGTTTCGTTTTTAAAGGCCTTAACAGTTCATCTTAGATGATGACGTTTTTGGTAGTAAGGTCTTCAACTAATTCTGGGAAATAGTTTTTCTTAAAATCTTTTTTTAACCTTAGCAATTTATATATAGTGCGCAATAAAATCTTTGCATACTTCAAAAGTTGTCTTGTGTCTTTGTCGTTATAGTGGCTTGTGTAATAAAAATAAATAAAGCTGAATTAAAAGTACAGCTAATACTGTCCCATTTTGTACCTGTGCATTTGTATTTTCATGATGAACCAAATGGGTGTGGAATATTCTGAAAAAATCTTGAGAATATTGTTTGTTTTTCTGCTTGCGTACAATACAAAATAAAAGAACCTCTGTGTAATTCAGTGCCACCTGGCAGAATTTGGTAAAATTATCAATGTAATATGCTATCTTCATGTGGGAAGATCTTGTAAGTTACCTTTAAAACAAGCCTTCTTAATATCAAATTTCCAGTCATGTTTGGTGAGGGTTTCAATTGTTTTATGGGTATGTTTTAGCCTATGTTTCATTCTGTGTAGACAATGTGAGTTTGCAGTTTGTTGAAACTACAGTTTAGTCTAAGTTATAGTTAATGTTTAAATGGAAAGCAACCAGTAGTAATTTTCACATTGTGATATTTTATATCAGATTGAGATATTTTCCATTTAACATCTTTTGAAATATGCATGCTGTTACATATATTTGCTTTAATTTCAAAACATTCTTTTGGCTGATAGTCACTTAGAGTGAGTATATTGAAGTGAACATCATGACATAGTTCTGTTTTTCAGGAGTAGATTTCTGTAGAGAGTATTTGTTAGAATAGCACATATTCTCTAGCCTAATGATTTTAACATATTTGTAATTTAATATTTTTATAACAAACGTTGATGAACAATTGTTCATGAGCTCAGTTCAGGAACACAGTTTCTCTTGTTTCAAAGGCAAAGAAAAGTCTTTTCAAAAAACAGTCCTCACTTTAAAAAGTGTATATTGAGTAAGGCAAGATACAAGTTCATGCAGCTGTTAAATGTGAAAGCACAAAGTGTAAAGACGCAAGAAATGCTGTTAATAATACAGTAGACATGAACTCTAGTGGTTCAACTGCTTCTAAGGGGGTGATGGCAAAATTTCTAACAAGCATTTTGAATGGTAATATTGAAAAGATTGTGTGCATATTTCTGAAGAAATTATCCAACTGTTGTTTGATGATGTGGGAGAAAATAGTTGCTGATTGAAAGCTTTGCAAAAGTAGAATAGAGGCTGATTGATCATAAATGGGGTGTAAACAAAGTAGTGTGTATGAAAAGATAGATACTGAATGCGGTAGTAAATTTGGTCCTCTTTTGATTTTTATATTGTTTGTTAACTGAACTCATACATTTGGAGAGCGTAGCCGACATTATATTCTCTTAGGTTTTATTCTGATTGTGGCTGTTTCTCTGCTGACCTGGACAATACCATTTGACAATAACCGTAGAAGCTGACAAATGAATTAGTTGTCTGTGCGAAACATGACTTAATGTAAGGTTTTGCTCTTAGGAGGCCTAAAGGTAAATTGGCATTGCACACTTTTCCTTATGATTCTTTGTGTGAATATAACCTTTGTGTGTGTTTTTTCAAATAGTAAATTTTTCTGGTTTTTCTTCAGCATTGTATTTTGACGCTTAGTGCATGTTGGAATATTTCTCTATTAATTTCAATATAATAAAGTGATGAAACCAGAAGATTCCAGAGAGAGATCTGGCAATTGTAACTGAATCTCTCTCAGACTATAAGAACTGGTAGTTTTCACAGTGTGGTAATTGTCATCTAGCAGCTTTTCTTTTCTTGAAAGTTGACCTTTGAAATATCCAGGATAATGCCCAGTTCTCATACTTCTAGTCAGCTGTGATTATGTATGTCTAGAGTGTTTTGCAACGTGAAGGTTTAAAAAGAAGTGTGGAGGGAAAAAGTACAGATATAAGAAGGTTCAGTTGGAGGTTTCTATCTGGCTATGGCTAATCTATCTAAAAGGAAATCTTGTATTAGGAATTCTGTTGTATTGAAGGGTCTGGCTCCGGTTTGGGATTTAATTTCTTTAAAGGATTTAGCATACTTACATGAAATACAACTGTAGTCCCATTTACCATGTGTAATGTATAACTCAAGATTTTTTTTTTTTTTAATCCCATTTTTGGTATGGTAAGGTGAAGAAACAAAGAAAGGTGATATTTCTTGTGTATATTTGATAGAATAATATAACCACAATTTTATTAGGTAACCGTAATTTTTAAGACAAATTATGTGTAACCTGATTATTATTAAAGCCATTGTAATGTGGCAGAAGAATTAGTCTTTTAAGAACAACTAGCTGAGCAGAGATTTTTAGCTTTGGTAAGGCTTAAACATTTATTAATAGCCATCATTTGTCACAATGGTAGTTGAACTTCCTCTGTAGCTCATGATATGCAGCTGTGGCATTTGTTGGAATGTACCAGCTTTGTAAAGTTATTTGATAGTATTTGCTTGCTCATTATGTAACTCGTGCCAGAAAATAAAACGTTTCTTCTGGTTCAAATACTGGATATCTTTTAGGAAAAGCTTAATTTGAAAGTTACTTTCTGAGTGCCCTTAGCCCAGAGGAAAATACAGGAGATGCCCAAAAGAGAAGGAATGTCTACCATGACCTAATATGTAATGCAGATATGATGAATTCCATCTATTTTATCAGTTCCATCTAGATAGGGAATAGAATTGGTTATGTCAGTAGGATTGCAGTGCTATGAGAGAAAAACATGCTTTTACCAATTGTTACCTCCATGTAACTGATTTTTTTTTTTTTTTAATTTTGAGAGTTCTGTGTTTTCTAGTATTAATTACAGGAGTTGTTTTATTTAACTAGCTATATAAAAAAAAGTATGTTGCGCTTCAGTACTTTGAGGTTGAGATAATATACACGTGATTTTTTTGTAATAAAGTTGGTGATAAAAATCCATGCTTCTGTGTACTTCACAAAAACGTTTTGCTGTGGTACCTGTTGAAACACTAACACCATCGAACCAACTTATAAATATTTTCATGGTATCTTTCAAGAAAACAATGTGATAATCAGTGTAGTTAAAAGTCATTTTAATAGTTTAAATTGGCACCAGTGAATTTACTCCTAATAAATATTTTCCTGAGCTCAGGTTTGTCTTGTTTCCCAAAGATATGGATAGCAGTAACACAAGTGTCTGTAGATTTCTAAGTACAGCTTTATGGTGTTTTGCCACCTTGCTTCTTGTCTAAAGACTGTATGGAGAGAATTACATGTGAGGAAAAGCTTTTTTTATTTTTTAAACAACTACTTTCTAGATTTCTGGAGAAAATGCAGTAAAAAGGGGGTTAAATTAAAGTAAAACAGCTCTAAGCAATAAGGCAGTGTAGAGAGAGGGGCAGAAATGTTGCAAGTTTTTCCTAGATGCAGTTTTGCTCATAATAGGGGTAGTGTAGTTAGACTACATACACATTGAAGATTTGCAGGATGCAAAAATTGGGGAAAAATACGCTCTGCAAATATGCTGAAATTTGTCTGAAGTGTACTGAATTTGAGAATTATCTCTATCCCATGACATGGGTAAAGTTACTTTTGTAGCTGCTACATTGAGACTGTCACTATTGTTTCTTGACAAGATTTCAACTTAATAAATTACGCTTCAGATTTTCTGTAGATGCATATGTAGTTGTATGCTTACTACTATCCAACACATTGTTCAATTTCTATGACTATTTTGACTTTTCTATACAGATCTGCTTGAAGTTTAAGGTGTGCTTTATTTTTTTTCTTTTGCTTTGTAAGCATACAGAGATACAAACCAATACATGTATTTTTTGTGTGAATATAAAATTTCATGTTATTTAGGTGGAAGAAAGCATAATTCTGTGTTTTGGTTTTAAAATAGATTCACTACTTTTGAGTTATGTTAGAAATAAGTCCTAGAGGAATCAAGCTGGATAGGGAGGCAAGCAGTGGTATAGCTAAGGAAGGATCTAACATAGCTAAATTTATAGCATTAAAGAGTGTCAGGAGATTTGTTTTGTTTCGTTTTTAACTTTAAATAATCTAGGACTAACAAAAAGTATAGGGCAGTTAAAAACAGACTCTCCAAGGTACAGAAAATAAGCAGGGAAACCTTGATGCTTTGACAAGCTCAGTCTGTATTTGTTCATTCATTCGGTTTTCCTGCCAGAGATTATGTTTACAATTTGTCCTCTGTATTTGAATGCATAGTGCTTTTATGAGTGTGAATTAATGGGTATGTGTTGTAGATAATTCAAAGTGTCTGTGCATGCTATTGCAAAAGAGAGAAGCTTCCACTCTCACCTTCCCTGCAGAGGTGTACTGGCACCCACAGATCTTTTAGAGGGGGTAGTTGTTCTTGGGAGTGCTTTTCTCTCTCTTTCAGGGAAAATTTTCTAGTTAAATAGTTCACTTTAAACCAAACCTGGAAATTGTGCCCTAAGTAGTACTTCAGATTTGGTAACAGCTGGAGGAATTTAAGTGCTGTAGCCCTTCACAGACTGGAAGTATCTCCATAATCCTATGTTGCCAAGAGGCATACTTTGTCGTAACAGCAGCTGGCATCCAGTGCTCCAGTGTGGGTGGCTGGACCATGCGGTCTCATCCAGGCTGAGGTGCAGAAAATCAGACTTCCTGTGTTCACTGCACTGTATGGAAGCCTAAATAAATCTGAGGGGTGTTACCCACAATGACCAGAACTGCTTTTAAGTATTGCCCTCTAGTGTGCAAATGAAGATTATCTTAAATACATGATTTTCCTGGTCAGGAAAAGAAACTGTTCTTTATCTGATGGGCATATATGCATTGATTTTAGCATTTGTATGTTTGCTGAAATATCCCAAATCTTTGAAATTTGCTAGCATTTGCTGTTTGTGCATGTGACCAACAGTGGGGAATGTTTTCCCTCCAAAAACTGCAAGGAAGGAAAAGCGTCAAAATAAATACAGATGCCAAAGTAAACAGCTGTTGGTACACTTAAAAGACAATTAGAGTGAATCAAGACACAGAGTCTTCTCAACTCCAGTTCCATGGAGACCTAAACACTGCAGTGCTCAGGGCCACCAAAAGGTGTTGTGTTGCCTGTGTTTTTTTCCCTGGCTTATTTTTTTTTTCTGCCTTAGTTAAGTCAGCATGTGACAGGGTCGAAGAACTGGAGTCAGCACAAGGGAAGTGGTGGCAGCAGACAAAGAGCTAGAGTGAGGAGCAACAGATCCTGGACTGAAGCCTGGTGTTTCCAGAGGTGTTCTGTTATTGTGGTTATCCTTAGTTAATATGGACCTAGTATCTTGTTTCCCTATGTGTCTATAGTTTGATTTACTTTTGCAGCCTAGAACTTTTTATAGGGATGTGCCACCTGGCTGACTTTCTTCAAAAGGATTTTCAGGTCTTCTCTGTGGTTGTTTCTTACAGATATCCTACAAATAGGGCTTAGAAGACTTCTTTGCCTGATTCAGACATATTCTCAGGTCTTTCTACACTCTAAATATTTGAAAGAAGCATAGCATTTTAACTTAACTTGTGGTCTTCACCTGGAAAATAGTCTCCAGTGTGGCAATATTTAATCATTATCTTTACAGTTACTCATTTTCATTATGTCCCTGCTTCTGAAGAGACACTTGTAATAGTGCAGTGCACTTCAGCTTTGCTTAGCAGAATCTTGCACAACCTCCTTCAAATACTGAACAGTAACCAATACAGCAGTTTGTTTTTTCACTCATATTAAACCCTTCAAACAACTGTATAATCTTCACTCAAGGAAAGTGGCTATTCTTTGGCTCTTCATAACTATGCTTTTAAACACCTAGCACTGAGTAAAATCAGCACAACTTTCTCTTGAACTTGTTGAAGTGACTGTGTGCTACTACTTCTCTATTATGTCCAGCACATCTGATGTCTATATAAGAAATAAGAAAAAAATCTATTTTATTTCTTGTGTTGCAGGATGCTCACTGGACATTTTAACTACAAACATCACAGTCTTGGTAAAATGTTGAACTTTATAATCTTAATAATTCAAGCTATGGTATTTGTGGTCTGTATTCATTTAGTTGCTTCTGTAGTTTCAGATTTTGAAGTGTTTTACTAGAACCAAAACACAGACTGCGGCAGTGCAACAGAATTAGATTAACTTTTGAAGAGGAAAGACGTTCAACAACCCCAAATCTCCTTCAGATTTTTTTTTTTTTTAAATGGCTGGGTCTTACCCTGCAAGAAATAAAGCTCTCTAGCTAGTAAATTCCTTTCTCTCGTGTCAAACTGCTCAGTTCTGATATCATAATCACACATGACTTTCCATGAAATCAGTGAGACTACGTTCAGGAATTAATACTTCCAATACAGGTTATACTGAAAATTCCTACTTAGTTCTAGATTAGGTAGTAAATTGAAAATGGTAGGAGAACAGGCAGTTGAAGAAGGCACAATATCATCCTGAGGAGGGAAAAAAAGGGAGTGTTTTAAAACTGTTGGTGTTTTTCTGGCCCTTTCTTCCTAGGTACGTTTACATTTGAATTAGAATTTTAGTAAATACAAAGAGATTATAATAAGAGGAGGTGAAAACCTTTACAGTTAATATTTCCTAATCCTTCTCTAGAAGTCTTTCAGCATTAGTGTTGTAGAGTAATGGAGTATTTGTTACTCATCACTGAGATACGGTGAACAGACTTTGCACTGAAACCTGACATTAACAGGACTACTCACAGTACGTAATTCAGTATTGTACATGTCTTTGCAGGATTGGGTTTTAGGTTTCCAAAACATTTAGAAGTCATAGAAGGGCTTTTGAAGCTTTCTATTGCTTTTCTTACTCTGTGGGTTCCAAGTAGTGTCTGTTACTGTGTCTTATAAGTCATCTTTCTAGTTCAGTTCTGTTATAATGTTTCATATGCTGTATTTGAGAGGATATGATTTTGTCTGGTCTACCGTGTTCAGCCAAGAAAACATTTTCAGGTTTTAGAAGTAGAACTACAAAGTTACAGGTGGCTATCAATAATGACGTGCTCAGCTGGCAGGTAGTCTGAGGGTAATGGAGTAGTCTTTTCTTTATGTGAGTTTTAAGTATGTGTTTTGGTTTTCTTTGAAATTACAGTATTAGACTGAATTTTGTGTGTGAATTGAAATAAAGTATCCTATCAGTGATGAAAAAAAGATGCTAGTTAGCTTTATCTCATTGCTTAGAATTCATAAAGTACAGAATCTAGGTCTGAGGAACTAAGTTGAATGTACTTTTTATTCTTTTTATTTTTCAGAGGCCCAGAAGACACAATAAATGATTGTAAAATCCTTTTTATAGAGGAAATGTACAAGATTGAAAAACCAGGAGCCTATCCATTGACATTTGGGGATGGAGATTTCAAAAGTATGCTTTTTTAATTATTTGAATAGAAGTACAAATTGAATGATGTTGCCTTAAAAAAATAGAACGATCAGCATGCAGAAGATTTTGTTTTGTGTGTTCAGGAAAGCAGTAACATAGAATCCTTTTTAGATTTCTGTTTTAAAAGTATATTTACTTTAAGGTGGCTCTATTACTTGACGTATTCAGAAACTCATAACATCTTAGTGCTGTCAGTCATAAGCAGGGAAAAAGCTGAAGAGCTGTTAATGTTCTAAATGAGCTGTGCAGAATGAATTCGTAGTCTCAGTTAAGTTCCTAGACAGGTATCCATGTCACCCAAACTGCTATTGCAATTGACATGTCATTTAAGCTTTTAATAAATCAATAAATGCCAAAGAATCAGTCTGTAATGATGCACTGTAACCCTGTCATTATGTCAGAATTTAAAAAAAAAGTTAAGGAACTTTGTGCCAAAGCTGCTTGTACCATGAACACAAGGGATACTTAATGTTTGGGTTATTATTTGGCCCTGCATCACCTTCTAAAAAAATAACTATGCCATACCTCCTCATCCTCCCCACAACCACAGGAAGGAGTTAGTGGCAGCTTATTTAAAAAGTAGTGTGACATTTTATCCTAAGTTTAAAAATATATTGAAGTTAGGAGTGATAAGTGTTTGTGATAGCAACACTGAGAGATTGGATTGCAGCTCTACTAATCGGTATTAGATGTTATTATATATTACACTCCTGACTCCAAGGCAATTTTTCAGAACCTTTTTCAGAACCTCTCAGTGCACAAGAACTAGTCTGCTTACTGTTTATTTGCCGTCATCTAAAAAGTCATGGTTTTTCAGAGGAGCAAATACCATTTGCTATGGTATTCTTAAAAGTAAAACCGTGAGTTTCTGTAAATGAACTTGTCACAATTCATTTTTCATTATTTATGATCACTTGAAGGGTTTTTGGAGTATCTTAAAATATGTTTTTATTTTAAAAAATTGTAGTGTGAGAAATTTAAAAATGTACAGCTACTGCTTTGCATTTACATACCTACTTATTTTGCAAGTCTAATTGTTTATGAAACTTTTTAAAGGGCATATAAAATAATTACACTTCATTTAGTTCTTCCCTATGGCTACTGTGTAGCGAATTCATTTTTAAAATTATGTGTTAAGGAAATGAATGATTACTGTGTTGCTGACTCTACAAAATTGTCTACAGTGGCAACATTTGATCTGACATGCGTATGTATTTATCATAGAATCATAGAATCATTTAGGTTGGAAAAGACCCTTAAGATCATTGAGTCCAACTGTTAACCTAGCACTGCTAAGCCCACCACTAAACCATGTCCCTAAGTGCCACATCTACATGTCTTTTAAATATCTTCAGGGGTGGGGACTTAACCACTTCCCTAGGCACCCTGTTGCAGTATTTGATAACCCTTTTGGTGAAGAAATTTCTCCTGATACCCAATCTAAACCTCCCCTGGTGCAACTGGAGGCCATTTCCTCTTGTCCTATCACTTGTTACCTGACAGAAGAGACCAACACCCACCTCACTACAACCTCCTTTCAGGTAGCTGTAGAGAGCGATAAGGTCTCCCCTCAGACTCCTCTACTCCAGACTAAACAGCCCAGTTCCCTCAGCTGTTCCTCACAGGACTTGTTCTCTAGACCCTTCACCAGCTTTGTTGCTCTTCTTTGAACACACTCCAGCACCTCAATGTCTTTCTTGTATTGAGGGGCCCAAACCTGAACACAGTATTCAAGGTACGGCCTCACCATTCTGTGCTTCTTACACTGATTGCCACCTTTATTGTTTAAAACTCAAACCCTTTATTTTCACTTACAGCTGTTTCCCTCCTATTTTGACAGCTATCTCCTTATTTGTAACTTCTTTGCTTAAACTACTCACGTATTGTGATCTGTGTAGAGATTTGCACCTCTGTGTATGTATTGTTTCACTCTGTTCCTGTGCCCATTTTTATGCATTTCAGGATATTGTTTACAAACCTTCATAAATAAACATAACACAGAAATATAATCGTCAAAAATGTAACCCTGAAAATTTAATTGATCTGGCAATTTAGCCTTATTTCATGTTTTGAACTGCTCTTTTTCCCAAGGCCAACTTTCTTACCACACTGCCCTTTTCGCTTCTGTTCATGTGATTCTGATTTTTTGGTAAGCTGTCTTGCCTTTGTTCACTTATGCACAGTGCACATCAGTTGAGCTGTATGCCGTAAGCAGTATACCATTTACCTCTGGACTCTACCTACATCCCTACTTGCACTTTGTATTTAAAATTTTAAAATATATATGCATATATCTGTAAATGTGCACACAGCTGCCTTAGCTTGTATGCTATGAAAAGCTGCAGATTTTTGTTACACTAATGGCAGATGAAATTCAAGGAATTACTTGGCCTTAAATACTCTATGAGATTGTTGTAAGCACAGTCAGAAAATGCACTGACTGTATTTTTGTCTAAAGCTACTGTCCATGTCCTTTTGAACAGGTAGAATGCCTACTTTGGAAATAAACTTCATCAGACAAACAATGTAGGCTCCCTCTGCAGAAAAATTGTTATTCCTTGAGTGTCACTATATGCTAGTTAGGTTTTGTATGTGTAAATTAGGTAAAAATGACATGTCAATATGCATTTAGCAGTTACAGTTAAAAATAAGGTAGTTATTTTCATATTATTGAATGATAATCTAAGTTCTGCAGCTCAGGAAAAGAGTTGGGCTAAACCTATTAGAAAATTATATTAAAAAATTAGAAAACTAAGAAGCAACATACTTGTAAATACATTTCAAGTATTTCGATGCAAAATGGAGATAAGACCTAGGTATCAATGTATATTACTTCTGTCAGAATCCAAATTTGTACTATGAACATGAGATAACTCTTTCTGCAGAAGAAGAGAATATGAAATGATATATGCAACTAAACCCTACAGTATTGGTAGGGGTGAACAGACCTGCCTTCATGTGACCAATAGTGCAGATATAATCAGTGCATTTGACTTACGGCATGGTTAAAGCAGAAATGTGGAAAAATTGAAGTCATGTCATGAAAATGACAGTTTGTAGTTTGTTTGTATATTGAATAAAGTTGAAAACTCCATGTACTGTTTCACTGAACTGAAATATGTAGATCTTTTTGCTTTCTTCCTCTTTTTAAAAAAATATTATTACTAACCTTTGACCTAGGAAACTGGTTTTGTAACCAAAACCAGTAAATTACATAGGCCTAAACAACCTGTTGTGGTAAGAGATACAGAGAAATACACAGTTTCTTTTTGCCTGTTATTTGTTGGATGAGGTAGACTAATGAGTTTCTTTAGGGAGTGCCCTCTTCAGTGGTGGTTCTTCTATGTTCTTCAGCTTTTATGTTTTTTCCTCTTAAAAGAAAAATTCAAACTGCAGTGTTCTGGCACTTCTTATCATAGAATGGAATTGGAAGGGATCTTTAAAGATCATCTAGTTCAACCCTGCCTGCCATGAGCAGGGACATCTTTCACTAGATCAGGTTGTTCAAAGCCACGTCCAACCTGACATTATACACTTCCAGGAGTGGGGCATCCACAACTTCCTTGGGGAACCTGTTCCAGTGTCTCACCACCCTCATCATAAAAAAGTTGTTCCTTATGTCTGATCTATACCTACACCCTTTCAATTTAAAACTGTTGTTCCTGGTCCTGTCACTACAGGCCCTAGTAAGAAGTCTTTCCCTGTCATTCTTATAAGCTCCCTTTGAGTGTTTGTACTATAAGGTCTCCTTGCAGCTTTCTTTTCTCCAGGCTGAATAAACCCAGCTCTCTCAGCCTGTCCTCGTAGGAGAGGTGTTCCATCCCTCTGATCATTTTTGTGGCTCTCCTCTGGACCTGCTCTAACAGGTCCATGTCTTTCTTGTGCTGGGGACCCCAGAGCTGGACACAGCACTCTAGGTGGGGTCTCACAAGAGCGGAGTAGACAGGGAGTATCCCCTTCCTTGACCGGCCTGCTGTGCTTCCTTTTATGCAGCCCAGGGTATGATTGGGTTTCTGAACTGCAGGTGCACACTGCCGGCTCACATCTGATTTTTCATTCACCAGTATCTCCAAGTCCTTCTTTGCAGGGCTGCTCTCAATTCATTCATCCCCCAGTCTGTACTGATACTGGGGACTGTCCTGCGCAGGACCCTGCACTTGGTCTTGTTGAACTTCGTGAGGTTCACATGGGCCCACTTCTCAAGCCTGTCAAGGTCTCTATGGGTGACATCCCTTCCTACTGTATCAACTGGTGTATCAGCCACTCAGCTTTGTCATCCACAAACTTGTTGAGGGTGCAGTCAATCCCTATGCTGTGTCATTGATGAAGGTATTAAATAGTATTGGTCCCAGTATGGACCACTAGATCAGTCAGGCACGATTTGCCCTTGGTGAAGCCACGTTGGCTGCCTCTTATCACCTCCCTGTCTTCCATATGCTTCGACATGTTTTCTAGGAGTCTCTGTTCTGTGATCTTACTGGGCACTGAGGTAATGCTGACTGACAGTAATACCCAGGGTCCTCCTTTTTACCCTTTTTGAAAATGGGTGCGGTATTCCTTTTCTTCCAGTCACTGGAGACTTTCCCTGACCACCATGACTTTTCAGATATGATGGAGTGTGGCTTAGCAACTACATCAGCCAATTCCCGCAGGACCCTGGGATGCATCTCACTGGGTCCCATGGATTTGTGTATGTTCACGTTCCTCAGATGGTCTCAAATCTGATCTTCTCTCACAGTGGGAGGGACTTTATTCCCCCAGTCACTGCCTTGAAGTTCAGAGACTTAAGAGATGTGGGAAGAGTGATTACCAGTGAAAACTGAGGCAAAAAAATTGTTGTGTACTTCAGCCTTCTCCATGTTGGTTGTCATTAGTTCTCCTGTCTCATTTATGGGGGCAAAGAGGGGAATCGGGGGGCGGGTACATTTTCTTTAATCTTCCTTTTCTGACCAACATACCTGTAGAAGCCATTCTTATTATTCTTTGCATCCCTTGCCAAGTTCAGCTCCAACTGTGCCTTAGCTTTCCCAATCCCATCCCTACACATCCAGGCGGTGCCACTGTATTCTTCCCAGGATACATGACCCTGATTCCACTGCCTGTGCATTTTCTTCCTAAGCTTCAGTTTGACCAGGAGGTCCTTACTCAGCCATGCTGGTCTCCTGCCTTCCTTGCCTGATTGCTTCAATCAGGAATTAAGTGCTCTTGGGTTCTAAGAAAAATGTCCTTAAAGAGATGCCATCTCTGTTCTGCTCCTTTATCCCTGAGGGCAGTTTCCCAGGGGGTCCTATTCACTAATTTCTTAAACAACTAAAAGTTCAGTCTCCTAAAATTCAGGGTCCTGACTTTAATCTTTGTTTGGCCCATACCCCTCGAGATTGTGAATTCCACCACGGCATGATCACTTCAGACTAGGCTGCCACTGATCTTGACCACTCCAATTAGTTAATCTGTGTTGGTGAGCAAGAGGTCCAGTAATGCTTCTCCCCTGGTTTGGCTGTCTGTCACCTGGATTGAGAAATTCTCCTTGATGCTCTCCAGGAGTGTCCTGGACTGCGTACAGCTTGCTGTGCTGCTTTTCCAGCAGATGTCAGGGTGACTGAAGTCCCCCAGCTGACTTCCAGGCTGGAGTTTCTCTCCAGAGAGATTTTACACTGATATCTTACCCATGTGGATGAAATTTTCTGTAAAGTCTATTCAGTTGGGAGGGCAAATTTTTCCTCAGCAGGGAGTGTCTGGGATTTGTGCAAACCCTTAGTCATTCCTTTCCTTCTCAGTATGCTTAGGAAAAACGTAAAAGTATCCAAAACTTCTCTGGATACATCAGGGACCCACCTGATCTTTCTATTCAAGAATCAACTCCTAAAAGAAATATTTACTTTAATTGCTTGTGTTATCTAGGCAAACTAATCTACAAGGAACTGATAAGCTATGCAGCTTCTGAAGGCAGCAACTTAGACAATGACTCATGGTAAAGAAGTCCACACTAAACCAGTTAAGGGTAGACTAGCGATTTCATGTTTCCTGGCTTGGTGGCTGGACTATTTTTAATGAAAGTAAAAACTAGGAATCATTAAGATTGGAAAGGACCTCTAAGATCACCAGTCCAACAATCAACCCAACACCACCATGTCCACTAAATCATGTCCCAAAAGTGCCATGTCTACCTGTTTATTGAACGCTACCAGGGATGGTGACTCCACTGCCTCTCTGGGCAGCCTGTTCCCATGCTTGACTACCCTTTCCGTGAAGAAATTTTTCCTAATATCCAATCTGAATCTCCCCTGGCGCAGCTTGAGCCCATTTCCTCTTGTCCTGTTGCTAACTGCTGTCACTAACTACTACTAAGTTCTCCATGTTTGGGGTTTGACAAATTCTAGTCTCCTCTAAAAATGTATCAGAAAGGCAGCAGTCCTTTAGTACAAAAAAAATTTCGTGTTTTCCTAAAGGTTAAGTCTTTCATGGGAACAGACAGTGTTTTCTTAAATATTATGATTTGTTGCTTCTGCCCTTCTCTTTTTGTCTAATATTCTGTCTGCTTAGCATCTGTGGAGGAATCTGATGTTCATGCTGCCTCTGAAGGGCTGTAGGGTGCTTTGGGTTTGGGAAGGGGTTGCTTGTTTTCATTTTTGTAGTGGGGCTGGTCTTCAAATTCCTTGCTATTGAACTTGCTTGTAACATCATGGACATATTCAGTAAGGTTTTGTCCCAGAAAATGAAAGTGTTATTTTTTTGGTATGACCAGTGACTTCTGGCAAAGATTGTGACAGGGATAAGTTTGTCTGTCCTTATCACAGTGTCCTTCTAGGCCAGTTGCCCTTTTGAGTAGACATTGTCAAACAGTTCAGAAGTTCCTCAGATAGTTTGCCTATGGACTTACAAGAAAATTTATCCCAAGTGTTGGTGTTCCAGCTGTTTCAGTTTCTGAACTTCTATAACCTGTGGTTATTTTTTTTCTTCCAGAATGGTACTTGAAAGAACATTTTCTGGCCCATTTGAAACTTTAAGAAAAATATTCTCTCTATTATCTCAGGTGTCTAGATTCTCCAGCTTCCTACTTTCAACTCCAAACTCTCAAATAGTCTTTCTAGTCTTCCTTGTCTTCTGATTCAAAGCTAATTACTTCTTTAAATACTATTTCCAGAGAAGTTTAGTAGTAGTCTATCAATTATTGTGTTAGACTAGTTTAAGCTCAAATTCACTTCCATGGAATTTCTAGATGACTTTTGCGCAGAACATAGAAATTTTTTTCTTTTAATGTTGGAATCTTTGGGCTGTGATCAAGTTCTCTTCTGAAGAGTTCTCTCATTTCTCTGGACCTTCTACTTCTTTCAAATATTTCTCCTGTAAGTGTTAATTCTGCTACAAGTATTCAGTGTTACCTCCTTCTCCTCTTTCATATCTCGTTTAGGCTACTGAATGTTTTTTTTTCTTGTATAAACGCATTTTTTCCCTGATTGAGAGACCAGTGCCAATGGTTGTGTTTCATAGTGGGGTTCATGGGTCCAAATTTCCAAGTGAGCTGAATCAGAAAGTTAGTGTTTCTTTGTGTGTAAACTAAACTGCTGCTGTGAAACAACTGGTGATTTGGGGTTGTATGTGGTCTCAGACTACTAATTCTTCTGTCCAACAGTAAATTTAATTTAAGGGGAAGAGTGCTGTTCCAAATTGTAATTTCATCTTCATTTGACTGTTACCAGTTACCTAATTGGAATTTCTTCATGGCTGTATTTAAGAAGACTCCAGCTAGAGATTGTGCAAGGCTCCATCTGTAGGGAGAGTGTGCAGGTGGCATGTTGGGTATGGGAGGGGAGAAAATAAGAAAAGCTGCTTATTAATCATTTTCTTTACTGCCTGTTTATACATCAGAAGAAATCCCATTAGCCTAGATAGTCAAATACCTCATTGTAAGAAAAAAGCATTTTCAAGAGGGCAGTGTTAATGTGCAGAAATAATTTTTTCCTGTAGATACAGTAACGCACTTTTCTAAGATACATGGCGTTTGACTTTTTCTTTGTTTTTGACAGGAAAAAGTGGCCCTGAATGCAAGCACTGTAGGGCTGATCCAGATAAGGAGTGCCGGTTTTGTTCGTGTTATTTGTGTGGTGGAAAACAGGATGCTCACATGCAACTCCTGTGTGATGAATGTAATATGGCTTATCATATATACTGCCTGAACCCTCCCTTAAGCAAGATACCAGAAGATGAGGACTGGTAAATATACAAGGGTGATTTGCTTATCTATATTGCCATTCTATATATGGTTCCTTTTTGTTATTTGCACCTTGTGAGAGACAAAACTGAAGATTTTTTTTTAATTCTGCTGTGTATTTCATCCATCTGCTTATTATAAATCTTATGTTTTCTGTCAAGGTAATTCTTTTAAATCATTCACAAAGGATTAGTAGTAAGCTTTAATGACCATTATGGAGTTTCAAAACTGGTATGTTAATTTTATTCATTATGATCATTATGATCTTCTGTGACATTATCTGATCTGATTGTGTTTATCAACAGTGGTTGTTCCCCAGCCTTTTAATTTTGTTCAAGCTTCACTGCTTGAACAATTTTCTTATGCTCACCCTTCTCTTTC